GGGGGGGGGGGGGCACGTGGGCTTGGGGAACGGAGTCAGCCTGGCACCGAGGCTTACCAGGGCTCAGGCAGCAAAGGGCAGCCTGCGGGTGGGGACTGCAGGACCCTTCCCAGACTGCCTCTCTGTTGTCATTCAGATCTCAGCTCAACCATCACCCCTCAGAGGAATCTCTGATCCAAAATAGCCTCCCCATCACTCACATCATCCCATTTTAGTCATAGCGCTTTCACTTTCCGATATTTTGCTCCTTGTTCATTGTCTGTCTCCCCCAATTAGAGTGAAAGTTCCACAAGGGCGGGGCTCTGCCTTGTTCACTGCTGGGTAACTAGTGCCTAGAACAGTGCCTGGCAGTAAGACCCACTGAAACCTGTGAACGAATGGATTGATGAATGAACGAATGGGCCCAAACAGACGCAGGCCCTTAAACACTGATGAGAGCAGGTATAAAGAGCTAAAGAGCTCAGCCTTTCTCTTCTCCTCTTTCTTGGGAAATATATAGCCTTTAAAATTTTTTTATATCTAGCATTTTAAAATGTCTTTCTTTTTCCTGATTACAAAAATGACATTTGCTCACAGTTGAAATTTAAACACTGCAGAAAGGAATGACATAGAAAGCAAAAGTCCCCCATCATCCCACATCTTAGAGAAAATCACTTTTAATGGTATGTGGTGTACTCATTGAGATTTAATTTAGTTTTAAAAGAAACAAATCCATGCATCATAGAAAGAAAAGGCATTCATAATTCCAGCAAACTAGCAGCCATTATCATTTCCCCTTTGCGATCTTTTCTCATGTGTTTATTTTACAAGTTACCATAACGTACTTATCCTGTAACCTGACACTTTCACTCATTACATCATAATCATTTTTCCAAGTTGTCATATTTCCTATGTTCTCCTTATTATAATGGCTGTGTAATATTCCACCAAGTGGAAATCTATAATTTACTTAACCTAGGTGTTCAACAAAGGGAGAACAACTGTTTCCCATTTCTACTCTGACAATGACACCACAAGAACATCTTTTTTATGCCTGTAACAAGAGAATTCAGCCCTTTTCTTTGCTGGAACTATTTCCTAATGAAAGATTTCTTAATGAACAATTCTACAAGTGGTATCACTGAACAAAAGGGTACAACACTTTTAAGGCTGATGATGTAGGTTGTTCTGGGGAATTCTGTGTAATGCGGGGAATAGGTCTCCGTCTGAGTCACCGCGTTCCCACAGTAGCCTCCACGGCCATCTCTCTACCCCCCACCCCACTCCCACAGTCCAGGCTCTCTCACACCACCCCGGCTATAAATCAACTCGGTAACACACTTCCTGAAAGACCCTCCAATCACAAACTGATTTTGCAAGCCTCGGTTGACTGAAAAGTAGATTCTAGCCTTGAGTTTTAAACTCTCAACTAGCAGTGGAGTCGAGATCTATCTAAAGCTGAGAAATACCCGGTTCCCCTTTCCCTCTCTGAAAACTCCTACATAGAAGCTAAGGGCTCTGGGCTCCCATGGACCAGTCCAACAGCTCCTAAAACTTGTCCAGTCAAGAGTGCAAACCCACCAGCGCTCCCTGCCCTGGTTTCCGGGGGAGCTCTCTGCCTGCCGGCCCCCAGTCCCACAGTGGGACTGTCTGCCCTCTTCAGACAGAACAGCCTTTAGGCCGGACAGCCTCTGGGGCTTGGGAGAGCAGCCAACTGTCATTTTTTTAAAGCATCATCAAGGAAAAGCCAGAGGCCGAGGCTGGAAAGAAAGGCTATGTGAGGACAGGTGAGACTCCCCAGCCAGGGGGCCCCTCGCCCTACATGCCGCTCCTCTGGACTGAGGAGGAGATATGGCTGAAACATGGCAGAAGCAGCAGAGAACTTGCTCCTCTTGACCCCCTGGTGGCCACGCTTATGGCAGCTAAGGCACCGCAAAGCCTTCACCATCCAGTGCCCTGGATGCTCTACCCAAGGCCACACAAACCAGTCATGGCTTCTGGGCAGAGTCTGGAAGCCTAGGTGAGATCCAGTTCCCACTGCACAGAGGTAAAGCCCAGAGCCCAAAGCACCCATGAGCATACAGATAAGAAAGAGAATTGGGGAAGATGCCATCTCCTAAGTGCTGGGTGTCTCACATCACTCATGTCAGCCCATCTGGGTCTGACCCACTTCTTAGAGGCCATGTGGCTACACAATGGCTCTAGCATGTGACATGGCCTGAAACTGCTGGAAACCCCCCTCCCATTCCAGGACCATAGACCTGTGACAGGCCCTTGGACCGGAAGCAGGCTCAGAACTGGAACCTTCAGGCCTGTGCCCATGCTGCTGAGGCAGGAAGGGCCAGTGATCCCCTGGGAGCCAGTAACATACTTACTTATCACACCCTTGAGTGCGCGGCTCCGAACAGACATCAGGATCACTGTCCAGGAGTGTCCCGGGTTAACCTTTGTCCCGGTGCCTGGCTGGGCCTTGGTGCCATTCTCAACAGTGTGGGCAAGCATCAGCCCCAGGGCTCAGCTGATCCTCGGCTAGTGGATGGGTGGCTTCCATTTGTCCCTGGAATTAAAGAGGAGGAGTTCATTAGCTTAAACTGCCCCCAGCTCCGAGCCACCAGGCCAGCCAGAGAGGCAGCCTCAAGGCAAACACCACAACTCCGGGCTCCAGGCTCAGCACCTGACACTCATCACACCCAGGCCATGGGGCCTCTCCTGGAGCCTGCCACCTCCTCTCTGCCATCCTGCTTGCCCAGGTCTGGTTAATCCGGAGATGAGAGCCTGGAATGGATCCCAGGCAGTTCACATGGGGGCTAGGACTCGGTGCTTCTTGTGCCATGAGTGAAGTGTGTGCACACTTGCAAATCTGAGCAGGGATATAATTTTAGAATCCAGCTCCATTCTCAATCTAGCTTCAAATTACACTCTCACTTCACTTACAAATTACACTTCCCCCTGTAGTGGGTACATCTGTTCTCAAGGGCAGTCAAGAACCTCACGGAAGACAGACGATGTAGAGCATTTGTTTTAGCATTTGGGGAGCCAAGCACAACTACACGTGCTAAAACAAGCACACCAACAAAATGTGTGCTAAAACCCTCTACCCGCAATCCCACTGCCCTCATATTTATTTCATTTTATTATTTTATTATTATTTTCGAGACCCTTCCTATTAACATCGGTAACTGACTACAAGCTGATATAAATCTGACTTTATAATGCCCCTTGCCACATACATATTTTTAATAGAGCCCTAAGACTTGACCATCTGATAGAGACTTCGACATTTTTTTTGCTTTAATATGAAGGTGCTGAAGCTTCCCTGAAAATCCCTTGGATAAACTGTACCTTCCGCACGAGCCCAGGGACAGAGATCAGATCCAGCCCAGCCCTACAGAGGGATGGACCGGCTGCTCAGAAGCTGAGAATCGTGTGTGACCGGGGGAGGGAATTGCCCCCATCCCCCAGTGGACGGCCAAGCAGGGTGGACCACAGAGGCACCACCCTGCGCTGATGCCCATGGCCACCCTCCTCCCTCCCCCAACCCCCCAGGCTCTCTGAGCAGGGGTGACTCGGGCCTTTGCTCCCGAAGGTGACAACTTGCCAGGCAGCAGGGGAGCCAAGAGAAGTGAAAGCGCAGGGCTTGGGGACCTGAAATTCACTGTGTGCACCTGTGCTTGCGGGCAGGGAGGGCATGCACCCCCGGGTCTCTCCCCTGGGCCTCTGCACTGAGAGAAGTGAAGGACAGAGGGAGTGAAGTGCTGCGGGCTGCTATGCTCTCCTGGCCTCTGTCCCTCCCCAGCTCCTCCACAAACAGGAGCCCCCAACCCTGCCCCACCTGTCCACACCCCTCCCTTCTCCCAGCCTGCCGGGCCATGGGCAGGGATCACCCTGGAACATACCTATCAGGGGCATGTCCAGCGCGCCCTCCATCCCCAGCACCAGCATGACCCCGTGCCTGGGGAGTTCGATCCCCCCCACGGGCACTTCCCCTTCTCTGGGCCCTAAGCAGGCCACATTAACAGCACTAGTCAAAACCAAACAGAAACAGAAACCAAAGCCCACATCCTGGCAGCACAGCCTGCTGGTCGCCACAGTTAGCCCTGGGGGCCCGAGGCTGGTTGGGGTGCAGCCCTGGCAGATGAAGCGTGGCAGTCAGAACAGGCTCCCTCCTGGGGCCAGCCTCATGCTGGACACCTCCTGCTTCCTGGTCTGCAGGCTCTTCCCCCAGGGAGCTGGGCAGGGGTTGGGGGGGGCGCTGGACGAGGAGGTGATGGGGTCCCACCTCTGCCTCCAAGTGCACAAGCTGTCCCCAGACCCCTCTGATACCCTCTGGCCCCTCAGACCGGGTCCCAGGGTGTAGAGGGCATGAGGCTCCCTTGAGGACAGCATGACCTGAACCAGAAGTTTTTGGAGTAGAGGAATGTGTGAAGAGCCCTTATACAACTGACATGTGGTAGTACTTGTATTTTTCAAGTATATGACCTCTCATAATTCTCCCCAGACTCCTGCAGGGAAGGCAGGAATTATCCTACCTCCCCACCCCCACCCTGTCCCCAACCCTGCTGCATTTTAAAGATGAAAACACTGAGTCTCAGGATATTAAGAGATTAGGCTAAATCCATACATTTGATTCAAACCCTGGTCCTCGGGCTCCAGAGTCACCCCTCTTGCCATATGGCATACCTTCAAACTGCTTTCCATCCCAATCTCACTCTCAAGGCACACATCTGCATGCACTCATCCTTCATTCAGTGTAATCTACTTAGTCCATCCTGTAAGCAGCTTATTTGTAAACGTGCAGCCAAGTCTGTCCATCCAGCTTCTCCTTCAACATGTCCCGATGCCCCAGAAGCTTGAAGGAGCAGAGACCACCATGCAATTTCAAGCCCTCTCTAACTGCCCTCCTCTGCAGCCCACCATACCCACTCCTCCTTTGAGATCCTGCCCCCTCTTCGTTCCTTTGTGATGCCATCCTCCCACAGCCCCCCAGTTATTCCATCACTGATGTTCCCACAGGACTTTGAACAGCCTCCTATTGAAACATATTGCCCCATCTTAAAATGATTATGTGTCTGTTTCCCCCTCCACATGATGAATTCCTTGAGACCATGAAACTTCTGTTGAATGGAGGGACAAGCAAGGTAGAGAAGGATCCAACCAAATTACTGGGTGATTGTAGCATCCAGTGTTATTAACCAAACATAATGATGTCTGGTGTTCTTCTATAATTTTTAGGCCACCATCATGGAAGGGTTCTCTCCCACAAAGCACCATAAACGTTGGTTTACAATGGGCAGGGCTGTCTCTGGAGACCGGGGAAGAAAGGAGGGTGCTTGCTATCCTTTCTCCCACCTCCAAGAGCCATCACCCAGGCTGAGAGGTGAGGATAGACGGGGTGAGTGCCTCGGGTCTGGACAGTACAGAAGACATGTCACATTAGGAGGGATGGGGCAGGAACAGAGCGTCCTAGGCATCCTGGGAGACACCGCAGGCTTTCATATGGGCAAGGAACCAAGCTCAGGTTCAGGTCAGAGAATAACAGTGCCTATTCTGTTATTTCTACAATGTGCTGGCACTCTCAAAAGAAGCGTCCAGTTTCCATATATGTAGGATTCATTTCCCAAAGAGGTTCAACCAGCAGCTGCTGGCAGGAAATTCCCTCTGCATCATTCTCTCTCCTCCCCTATAACTATTTAAGGTAAGCTGGGCTTGCAGGATTGAATCTCTGCTTCTCTGGCCGGAACCTCAAAATCAAATCTACCCCCATCCACCACCCTTCTCCATGGCCTGGAACCTAAGAGTGAAGCCAGGAAGTGGCAGGCAAACACTATCCCTTTTTCTCTCCTATTCTCCTCTTCCCCAAATCACCCCACCCAGGTGCCCATAAAGTAAAGATGCCCCAGAGACCCATTGGGGAGCCCTCTGGTTTTTCAAATCCTCCCCAGTTCTTCCCTTTTGACCCAGAACAACTGCTTTTACTTGTCCTGTAGTAAGACCAGCCCTGAACACAAGTGGATTGGCAACTTCCCAAACCAAGGAGTGACCATGCTCAGCTACAAATGCAATTGGAATGCCAACCCCCACCCCCAGGGGAAAGGCTGTGTCTGGTCAGCTCCCCCTTGGGAGCAAGGAGACCCAGGCCCTGGGGCCTGGCTGGCATGGGGAAGAAAGGGTGTAGATAGGGGATGGATCCCCCCTTCCCCTCCACTTGGCCATGTCCTTCCATTCCATGCCCCTCACTCTGGGCTTGGAATCTGCGTTACCCTGCCTGCTGGACATCTCGCCACCCTGTCTTCTGTCTCACCTGCAGGCTGCCCTGTCCTGACAACCTCCCCTTCTTCCTTCCTCCTCCCCATGCAGCCCACTCCACCTGACACACCCCTCCCAATGTCCCCCCCTGGAACCAACCCTGACCACCCACCCCCTACGCCTTAGAGGGTGGCCTCTGGCCCTGTGCTCCTTTCCTTTCCCTCCCATCCCACCCCCTGGCACTGTGTAGCTGCTGCTCACTGCCTGAAAGGCTGGACAGCTGCTGGGCTCTCTAATTAGCTGCCTGGCCGCCATCCCAGAGCAAGGCATGTGTTACTGTAAAGAGCTGCCTCACCTCCCCTTCATCAATAATCCCCTATGCAGATCCCATCAGGCGGCAGCTGAGGGGCCCTAGAATCCTCATCACGTGAGACCAGCAAGGCTCCTTCTGTCAGCTGGACAGGAACAGGCAGTGGACTCACAGCCTCACCCACAAAGTGACCGGGAATTTATGTATCTGCTTTCTCCCTATGACTACCCACATCCTTCGGATGTCCCACAGGTGAATCCACCACACCATGCCTTTGGAGGAATAGGGACCCTGTCCCTTCATTGCCTCCCCGGTGGAGGCAGAAAGAAGCCCAGTTGGTCTTTCGGAGGACAAATCTGCAGCATCTCAACAGCGTGACTCCCAATGCCCTACTTTTCACAGCTTGCTACAGCCAAGCCACCCCCAGAGATTTCTAAACAGCCAGGGGACCCGGTCCCAGAAGTCCTGTGGAGGCTGGTTTGTTTATACGAGGTGTTGTATTCCAGCAAATTTTGACTGAGTACCTAGTGCAGGCCAGGCACTGTACCCCTTGTGAACAAGACAAGGTTCCTGCCTCCTTGGTGCTCACAGTTCTGTGGGGAGATAGACAATAAGTAAGCCAGCCAGCACATACCGTAATGTCTGGTATCAGGCCACGAATGAGGGCAAAGGCCTGGTAGGGGAGACAAAGAAATTAGATGCTGGAGGGCGAGTCTTAAACTTCTCTAAGGATCTAGCATCAGGGCCTAGATGAGAAAGACACAAAGAAGCTTTGCAAAGAGCTTTGGGAAAAGCATTCCAGGCAGGGGGAACAGTAAGTGAAACAAGCTAAACAAGTTTGAGAAACAGCCAGGCCAGAGAAGCTAAAGTTTGTGTAATTAGGGGTCAGACATTCCCTGCCCCTTATCGCAAGGGTCATCTGGTGATCCCTACAGGGCCAACTAGGTCAGGGCAAAGTGCCCAACTGCCAAATAAATGTAGCCAGTCAACTGAAGACTCTT